CTCAAAGACAGGGAGACTGAGCACTTGAAAGTTGCTTTATTTCTCTGACACAGTGAATAAGGATGACTGGGGCAGAGCTGAGAGAGCACCAGAGCACGGCCTGCGCTCACCAGGGACAATCCTTCTAGCAGAAAGGCAGTTTACTCCTAGCCTAAATTCTTGTTCTATGAGCAGCAAATGAGAGGTGAAAAGTACAAAACACTTCGCCCCACCCCAGTCGGACACTCCGAGCTAGACTTCTTCTGTGTGGTGGTGCCTACTCCGATTCACTCTCGCACGGAGCCAACTGTTCACTAATTGCTTTTCACATTTATGTGTGTGACGATACTGTGCTCTGGCTTGATTTTTCCAAGGATACTTGCCAACATAAATACTCCAGGTCCAAGATAAAACAGAATAATTAAAAACAGGCCTAGTTATCCAATTAGTTGATCATCTCCTATTTGTATTACTAAGTTATAGAGTATTTTCAATTCTTTTGTCTATTTTTCTCATTTTAAGTGAGCGCAATAGGTTTTAACTTACAAATCTAATATCCAATTTTTATGGGATTAACAATAACCATGATGGAAGGCAGGTGTGGGGAAAACAGTGCAGCCTTTAAAGGAAAGAAAGGTCTGTGCTCAAATTCCAAAATCTGCCACTTACTGATGCTAATCAGGAAAGTGATGAAACAATCCACACTTGTAGGTTGTTATGAATAGGATATTTCAATTAAAAATTATTATGTAAAGAAAGTAGTATGTAAGAGGCACTAAAAAACCTGCATGACACAATAACATGTTCACAGTGTCTTTAGCATTTATTGAGCAAGAATCAAAATTCTTGAAGGTTTGTTCCTATTTTTATTCCTAAAGTTACAAGGTTAAAATGGGAGGGGAGAAATTTCATAATTTGTTTTTAGAGAGAGAATAACATGGCAACGGTTGGAGAGGTATTTTCTGCCACATGTAAAGCCATCCATAAGGAGTGTCCTACTTGGAGAGCTGCTTCAATACAATAACCACTCAGTGAACACTCACTACTCATTTATTTAGCAAATATTTCTGAATACTTGCTATGTGCCAGGCCTGTGCTAGGTTCTGAGGAAACAGCTGTAAATAATATAGACACAGGTTTGGTTCTTAAACAGCTTATATTTAGTAGGTCATATAAGCCAGCAAATGGGACATCAGAGAGGTACTGGGTGCCAGGAGTCCACAGGCGGACAGCATCCCCAAATCTGGAAGGGAGGTATCAGGGAAGAATCTCCGGAAAAAGTGATTTTCAAGAATAAGTAGGAGTTAGCTGAAGGAGGGCAAGTATTCTAGACAGACCACAGCATGTACAAAGGTCCTGAGGTGAGACGCTGGTGCAAAGTCAAGAAATTACAAGTAGTTTAGTCCTGCTGGAACTTCAGGTTCAATCTGGATGAGAGGGTAAGAAGGGAGATGAAGCAGAAACAAAAGAGCAGGTGAGCATACAGCTGGCAATGGAAGCAGGAGCCAGATCATGAAGCCATCTGGAAGCCAGTCACCCTAAAGAGCTCAGGCTTCATCCTAGAAACAAAGGGAAGTTATTGAAGGGTGGGAATGACATGGTCAGATTTGTCTTTGAGAAGACCCCTCTGGCTGTAGTGTGGGAAAAGAATCTTTTAAATCATATAAGAAGCTCTATCTTTGAAGAAAAAGCCTCCAAAACAAAAAGTCCAAACCAAGAGCTAAAAAAAAAAA